CCATCCATCCATCTGCAGCACTCCCTCTGACCACTGGGGTCTCTTTTCTTCTGATTTCCCCAGTGGGCCGTGGGTTCAATGCCTAGTTCCCCACTGATGCACACAGAGATAGATAAAATAGATCGATTAATTAATTTAAAAAGCTGTGAACTCCGTCCCACTTTCTGGAACCGAGCGACACTGGCAGCCCCCACCCGGGGCAGGTCACGGCATGTGCAGCGGTAGGGAGAAGGCCGACCTGCCTGCGCTGCGGTTCCCCCGGCACAGCGGCTCCCCCATCACCCGCCGGACTCAGGGCCGAAGCCCGGGTCCACACAAATGGCTGGGGGAGGTACAGCCAGCCTTTACCCCATGCCCTCTTGGAGGCTGAGGCGGGGGGATCTCAGCTTGGAGCCTGGCCCAGGCATCGGGACGACCCACAGGGGCGCGGTCCCTGGCCGGGAGAGCGGGTACTCACGGACTGGCTGTTGGCGACGCCGCCCTGCAGGAAAAGACAGGGAAGAGGGTGCAGTGCCTGGGAAGGAGGACCCTGAAGGCCCCGCTTGCTTCTCCCTTCTCTGATGGGACCCGGAGCTCTTGTCTTGAGACATGGGTCTCGCCACGTTGCCCAGACTGGCTCACCCTGGAGATCCTCCCTCCTCAGCCTCCCCGGGAGCTGTGAGTCCAGCCCGGGCGGGGTCCCGGCGGCCCCGTACCTTCCTGCGGATGTCCAGCTCGTAGTACAGCGTGCCCCGGTTCTGCTGGAACCTCCGCACCGGCTCGTCCCAGCGCACGACGAAGCCCAGGCCGGCGGGGCTGACCGTGACATTGGCGGGCGGGCTGTATTTCTCTGCGTTCGAACAAGACCCGAGACGGCTGGGATCGGGACTCAACCACCAACCCCGCCCAGGCCGCCCGCCCTCCGACGACCACCTGCCCCCACACACACTGACTGCCTTTGTGCTTGATTTTTGAGTCAGGGTCTCTCTGTGGGGCCCAAGCTGGCCTCGAACTCATGGAGATCCTCCTGCCTCAGCCTCACGCATGCTGCGATCACAGACAGGTGTGCACCGCCACACCCGGCTCATTTTCTTGCTCCCAAGCACACACGCACGGGGGTGATGATCTCACCGTTCAGAAAGGGCACGAAAGGCACCGTGTCCAGGAATGGGATGGCGGCCTCGCTGCTGGTCCCGTTGATCAGGAAGAAATAATTATCTGTCGTCTTGGGCTCCCCGGGGAGCTGGGCGAAATGGCAGCCCACGCGCATCCTCTTTGTGTCCAGGAGGTAGTGAGCGCATTCGGACTCATCGTGTCTCCTGGAGGACGGGGGTGGGGAGGGCTGACATCGGGGATGGAGGCTGCGGCCCGTGGGGCACACACAACAGGAAATGAACCTCTCTTCCACCTGTGTGTGGGTGGGCTTTGCAGTGTGTGTGTGTGTGTGTGTGTGTGTGTGTGTGTGTATGTATGTTTTAATGTTTTAATTCCTTATTTTGCAGCACTGGGGTGGAACCCCGTGCCGTCACACTGAGCTCCGTCCCCGGCCCTTTTTTTATGTTTTATGTTGAGACACGGTCTCACTCGGTCGCTAAGTTGTCCCAGGCTGGGCTGGAACTTGAGACCCTCCTGCCTCAGCCTCCTGACCAGTGGCGGTTACAGGCGTGCACCTCCACGTCTGCCTTCTGTAACTTTGTTTTAGTGCTGGAGGCTCTCAGAACCCCTCATTCTGGTTGTTTTAGATTAGCGATCCATTACGCTTCGCATGGTCACCTACCTTGAAACCGCTCCACACAGCTCCCCAATCCTGTGGAGCTGTGGCTTCCCCCCGGCGAGTCTCCCGCCACCCCGGGCCCCACTCCTCTGCCATACTCATCTTCCTGCACCTGGTTTATGGCGCTAAGCATAATAACCGCCTTTCTCACCAAATTGTTAAAAAGCACAGAATTCCGTCCTTGTTGGTGGCTGCATAGTATTCCTCCGCATTCTCTTCCCCTGTCTCTCTGTGAATGGATATTCTGGTGCGTTCTGCATGTTGGCTGAATCTAACTCAGATCTGCACCTCTCTATTTTCTGTCCAGCTGGGCACCCTGAGACCCCACCACCACAGCCTGTCCCACCCATCCCGTCCCACAGTGCCCACTCACGGGTTGAACCAGAGGAACAGCTGGTAGCGCGTGTCCCCGGGGGCTTCGGGGCCGGGTGCCCAGCTGCAGTTCATGGAGTGCACGTCGTAGATGACACAGGACAGGTTGGTGGCCCCGGCCCCGACCCTGCCTGGGACACAGCGGCCAGGCCTTCAGCACCCAGCGCAGGACGCAGGCGTCAGCTCCCGCCCACCTGCCCCCCGGGGACCCTGCGTCACCGGGGTTGTGGAAGTGCAGGGTCTCCTGGAAGGTAGAGTTGGCGACCACGGCGTAGACGGTGAACGTGGCTCCGCGGTGCAGGACCGAGTTGGGGAAGTAGCAGAAATACGTGTCCTTGTCCAGTGCCTGCAAGACCACGGGACCTGCCTGCCTCAGCCTCCCTGCGGCCAGCCCTCCTCAGCTCCCGCCCTGCAGAGCCGAGCCCTGGGCTGGCCTTGTTCCCACACTCGGGAGGCTGAGGCAGGAAGATCTCCATGAGTTTGAGGCCAGCCTGGGCTACACAGTGAGTTCAAGGCCAGCCTGGACTACATTGCGAGACCCTGTCTCAAAGAACGAAAATGCAAAGGAACCCCAACCCCATTGTCACAATGCAGGACCTTAAGAGGCTACCTCTGAATACACCAATGATTGACAGGATGTCGTGATGTCATGATTGACAGGAATTAATTTTGTCTATGAGTAGATGCTAAAATGTCTCTGCCTCTCTGCTGCCTGTGGGATTCCACGGCCTAAATCCCCCCTCGACAGGAAGCAGAGAACGAATCTTGATCCCCACAGGACTCCTACATATAAACCCAGGGTTTCTAGAAGCTTCTGGAAATTTCTAGATGGTTCTGGAATTTCTGCAGGATTCTGAACCAGGCCTCATTGTGATTCTTGTGAATTCTGGTATTTTGAGACAGGGTGTTGCTGTGTAGTTCACACTGGCAGCGAACTTGTGACCCTTTGGAAGGTTCTGGAAGGTTCTGGAAGGTTCTAGACTCTTCTTCTGAACGTTCTAGAAGATTCTAGAAGCCTGAATGTGGGTAAGGAGAGCTTAGGGCTCCAGGCACTACCTTCCTGCTCACATACCCGGCCTGTAGCCGTTTTCCTCTCAAGAACTGTGACATTCCTAAAAATAGGACACTATCATGGGAAAAAGTGAGAATTATTTTTTCCTCCCTGAGGATACAAATAGAAGCCTGGGATTTGCAGAAATGTGGAGATCTGCAGGGTCACGGGGAATTCCTTCCACCACCCAAGAGAGAACTGCTCTTGTGGACGCAAAGCCAGGTCCGTTTTAGACATTCTGACCCTAAACACGAACAGGAGAAGGGAAAACACACGGAGATTTTTTGGGGAAAAATTGTTTCTTTCAGACAGAATGTCACTATGTAGCCGAGGTTGGCCTCTAACTTGCAGAGATCCTCCCGCCTCAGCCTCCTCACTGCTGGGGTGACAGGTGCGCACCTGTCAGAGATGATATTTTTTAAGGAGAGAGAAAAACGAGCAATTTCATTGAAAAATATGGGGGAAAACTCCAAATGTCCCGCCCACAAATGAAATTCAGAATTATCATTTTTAAACATGATTTAAAAAAAAAAATCATCCTACTAATGCGGCCCAGAGTCTGTTTGAAGAAGCCAAGAATGAGAACGTATGTGCCTATAATAAGACATCTGCAAGGTCAACGGAAAGAAATCAGATCTGAAAAGGAAACACGCTTAGCGTCACTTCTGAGTTACACAACGGTGTGTGGAAAAACCAGAAATTTCCCCAAATCACATCAGATTGTGAAATGCACAGCGAAAAGCAAGGCTGTACATATAACAAGGTGCAAGACTTTGACAGTGAATAAATGTACACTAGGATTAGAAATTCAAAACTAAGCCCAAGTGAGGCGCCCGCCTGTCATCCCAACACTCTGAGAGGCTGAGGCGGGAGGAGCTCAACTTCGTACCCAGGCTGGGAGATTTAGCAAATAAACTTAGCCAATAAAAATACAAATAAGGGCTGAGGCTGTAGCTCTGTGCAAAGGCCTTGGAGTCAGTCATCAGCAGGTAAAAAATTAAAGCCCTGAAACAATACGAAGTTCTGCATATGCCTGGGAATTATCAGTACACACAGGAAGTGGTAAGACTTCCTGGTCTCTGGTGGAAAGTCCGGGCGGACCGTCGGAGCGTTCTGCGGGTGATTTGTGAGCTTAACAAGCTTCCCACGAGACGCCTCAAGCAAAATCGTGAAGAATAATTCGAGAAAAAGGATCCTGCAATGTGTCTGCGATATCAAAACAGTAAGAGAGCCAGGCGTGCTGGCGCTCGCCTGTCATCCCAGCACTCGGGAGGCTGAGGCAGGAGGATGGCTGCAAGGTGGAGACCAGCCTGGGCTACAAAGTGAGAGCAAGGCCAGCCTGAACTGCATAGCGAGACCCTGTCTCAAACACACACATACACACACACACACACACACACACACACACACACACACACACACAAAGTAAGAGTAGAAACAGGGAAAAGTCCACCCAGGCGGACACGTGTGCACGTCATCCCTGTTGCCACATTGGGTGTGGCTGTAATGCTGTATTGGACATAGCAGTGACGCCATATTGGGTGTGGCTGTGATTCCATATATGACAAGGCTGTGGCGCCATACTGGTTGTGGCGGGGGCGCCATATTGGATGTGGCGGAGTCCCTGGCTGGAGCAGGTGCGGAAGGTGCGTTTTATTTTGAATACAGATGCAGCTCGAGGGATTAATGGGAGGATGCAACGCCCTGAAAACCCGTCTCAGGATGCGGTTTGGGGAGTAGTTCTACGCCACAGTGCAGGCACGGGGTACAGGGGTGCAGACCTCCCATCAGGCACTGCAGCAGAGGGGGCCCTTGCTCTGCTCCTGGAATCTGCTGCTAAGCAGGCCGGCCACCCTAAGTTCCCGCCCCAAACCCCACCCTTTTCCTGTTTTTCTTGTTTTTGTCTTTTTTGAGACAGGGTCTCGCTATGCAGTTAAGGCTGGCCTCGAACTTGCAACGATCCTCCTGCCTCAGCCTCCCAAGTGCTGGGATTACAGGCGTGCATCACGCCCGACTTCCTTTTTCTTTTCTTTCTTTCTTTCTTTCTTTCTTTCTTTCTTTCTTTCTTTCTTTTTTCTTTCTTTCTTTCTTTTTTCTTTCTTTCTTTCTTTCTTTCTTTCTTTCTTTCTTTCTTTCTTTCTTTTTCTTTTCTTTTCTTTCCACCTCTCTCTCTCTCTCTCTCCCTCCCTCTCTCCCTCCCTCCCTCTCTTTTTCTTTCTTTCTTTCTTTTTGTTTTTTTGAGACAGGGTCTCCCTATGCAGTTCAGGCTGGCCCTGAGCTCACTTTGTAGCCCAGGCTGGTCTCGAACTCGCGTGAAGACTCGGAGGTGCACTGCGCCGTGGCCATGTCCCCGCTCTTTCCCCGCCTGTGCTCCCGTCCGCACCCGAAAGTGCAGAAGCTTCACTTTCCCCTCCGGGAGCGCCCAGGAACTACCAGAACCGGGGCGGCGACCCTGCGGGGTCACGGGGAGGCGGGTCCCGGCTGCGGGGCGCTCACCCTGGGCGTGGTGCTCACGGGCGCGCTCAGCGGGGCGTCCAGGCGGCAGGCGGCGCTGCCCACCGGGCTCGCGCACTCCCACGTCAGCGTCTTCTGCCGCGGGCGCAGCTGCAGCTTGGTGATGGGCGACCGTGCGTCCCGAGCTGGCCCTGGGGGACGGGACACGCAGCCGCGCCTTTCACACGCAGCACCCAGCTGGACCAAGCACCCAGCACCTAGCACTCAGTATGCAGCACCCAGCAACCAACACCTGGCACCCAGCACCCAGTACCTGGCACCCAGGATCCAGCACTCAGGACCCAGCACCCAGTACCCAGCACCTAGCACTCAGTATCCAGCACCCAGTATGCAGAACCCAGCACCCAACACCTGGCACCCAGCACCCAGGATGTAGCACTGAGCACCCAGGAGCACCCAGCACCTGGTACCTGGCACCCAGGACCCTGCACTCAGTACCCAGCACCTAGCACTCTGTACCAAGCACCTGGTACCTGATACCCAGTACCCAGCACCTAACACTTATTATCCAGTAGCCAGTATGCAGCACCCAGCAGCACCCAGGATCCAGCACCCAACACCCAGCAGCTAGCACTCAGTATCCAGCACCCAGTATGCAGCACCCAGCACCCAGTACCTGGCACCCAGGACCCTGCACTCAGTACCCAGCACCTACCACTCTGTACCAAGTGCCTGGTACCTGACACCAATACCCAGCACCTAACACTTATTATCCAGCACCCAGTACCCAGTACCCAGCACCCAACACCCAGCACCTAGCACACAGTATCTAGCACCCAGTACCCAGTATGCACCACCCAGCACCCAACACCTGGCACCCAACACTCAGGATGCAGCACCCCGTACCCAGGACACAGCACCCAGTATGCAGTATGCAGCACACAGCACCCAATACCTGTACCCAGCACCCCTTACCACCCACTACCCAGTATACAGCACCCAGTATGCAGCACATAGCACTCAGTACCCAGCACCAGGGTCCCAGTACCTAGTATGCAGTACCCAGCACCCAGTACTCAGCACCTGGCACTCAATACCCAGGCATTCAGTACTCAGCATCCAACACCCAGCACCGAGCACCTGGTGCCCAGCACCCAGCACCTACCGAGGGAGGACTGTCCTGAGCTTCTGGCCACGCTCAGAAGGATCCAGAGCCCCAGCAGCTGTGACACGGTGGCCACACGGGGTCCAGGAAGCTGGAGCTAAGATGGAAGAGGAGGCAGGGGTCAGGGGGCTGCAGCCCTGGCAGAGCTGTCCTGCCTCAGCCTGCTGCAGAAGACTACGCCTGTCCTCTGTTCGTCCCTCTTCCTTCCCTTTGGAGGTCCGGGGGACGGAGCCCAGTGACACCCACCCCTGAGCTGCAGCCCTTCTTCTTTCTGTCCTTTGACACAGGCCCTCACTAAGTTGCCAGAGTCCTACTCGAACTCGTGATCCTCCTGCCTCAGCCTCCTGAGCAGCTGGACTGAGCGTACACACTTCTGCCCCAGGCTACGACACGGTGTTGGTAAACCGATGGCCCTGTGTGGTGACGCCCCCGTTGGCATCTGAGACCCTGGTGTTGCGCCCCGGGCAGCCCTAGCGTGCTGAGCGCCCCACCCCCACCCCAGCTACACCCCGGCCTCTGCCGGGGTCTGCTGTCCTCGCCGCGGTGCTCAAAACCAAGCCCAGGGCGACCTCCTCAGCCCTTTTTCAGTTTTCATTTTTCTGAGAGAGAGTTTTGCTAAGTTGCTTCTAAATGGCTCAGGTTGAGCTCAAACTTGGGATCCTCCTGCCTCAGCCTTCTTAAAGTGCTGGGATGACAGGTGTGCGCCACCAGGCCTGCCGTCTGTAGATTGTAGAAGTATTTTCTTGAACCTTGATGGTACTGATAGGAGAGACAGAGGGAGAGAGGGTGAGGGTGACTGGTATGAACCTGTGGCCAGCACTCAGGAGGCTGAGGCAGGAGGTTCTCCCCAAGTTCAAGGCCAACCTGGGCTACCTATCGAGACCCCTGTCTCCAACACCAAATACGCAAACCAAGCCTCCCTCCTTCCCACTGTCACAGAAGCCCGAAGCCCTCCGCCCCCCAAACCCCCCGCGCCCGGGGCCGAGCGACCCCGCTTACCCGCCGGCCCATCCTGCGGGTGGGGAGTGTGCTCCGAGCAGGGCGCCGGGCCGGGCCGGGGAGTCCGCGCGGCTCCGTCATGGAAAGCGGGGAGATGCGGCGATAGCGCGCCCGGCCCCTTGCTCAGCCCTCCGCCCGCGCCTGCGTGGGAAGAGCCGGCTCGCACCGCGGCCCTTATCGCTCCGAGCCGCCGCCGCCCTCCCCCTGCGCCCCTCGGTCAGCAGCTGATCCCCTGACCCGCTCCTTCCTTCCTTCCTTCCTGCCGCCGTGGCAGCTTCGTGTCCCGCGTTCCTGTCCTGTCTTAGCATTTTAAACTTCGGGGCAGGGTCTCACTCCCTTGCTAAGTGTCCTTGGTTGGGCTGGAATGCGAGATCTTCCCGCCTCAGCCTCCAGAGAGACGAGGTGACAGGGCGCGCTCCGTTTCCGTCGTGATTTCCCGCGTCCAGGAGGAGCGATTTCCGCACAAAGCTTCCTCACTCCGAGGGCTGATGACTTTCCCTTCACAGACACCCCTGCCTCTCAGGGAGCGGACGTCCGGGTCCCCGGACAGCTGAGGGTCCCCTGGGACATCCAGGGGGTGTGGAATATCGGGGGTCCCCTGGGGCATGAGGGTCTCCCGGGATGTGTGGGGGAACCCCGGACCATGTGAGGGTCTTTCAGGATATGAACGTCCCTGGGACATCTGGGGGTCCCTCGGGACATCTAAGGGTCTCCCAGGACATCTGAGAATCCCCCAAGAAATCTGAGGGTCTGTGTCGGACAGCTGGGAGCCCCCTGGGACATCTGAGGGTCTTTCAGGACATGAGAGTCCCCGGGAAATCTGAGCATCTCATGGGACATCTGGGGGTCCCCAGGACATCTGAGGGTCTCTCTAGGACATCTGGGGTCCCCAGAGCTCTGAGCGTCGTGTGACACCCGGCCCTGGTATCAGTGAAGCTGGCCGTGACCTCAGCAGGGCGCGTGACTCAGTCCTGCATGGGACGAGGCGGGGCGGGGGGCTGGGCTCAGGACAGTGACTCAGCCTCCACCTCTGCCCTGGCTGCGTGCACCCCTACACCACAGGGGGACACAGGCTGCGGGCTGTGGGGAGACCCTGGGACAGAGAGGGACAGAGACAGACACAGGACGCTGGGGACGGGGCACCAGGTGCGTCGGGGTCACCAAACTGTACTTCCACAACCACAGGAGGCTGAGGCAGGACAATCTCAAGTTCAATCAAGTTTATTTTCACTGCACCACCTGGGGAAAAAAGAAATCAGACAGGATTTCCCACTCAAGATGCCTTCCACAGAGAAAGAACAGAAAGAAACAGGCCTGTCATCCCAGGCCTCCAGGGATGGAGGGTGGGAAAGATGTCCGGAGCTCCGGCTCCAGCCTCTGCCATGGGGCTGGCTGTACCTCCTCTCCCTCTGTCCAAGTGGGGGTCTGGCTCTGGGACAAGAGGACCCCAGTCACATTGGCCAGGGGCCACAGCCATGGCCTCAGCTACCACGGAGCCCTCTGCAGGACGCTGTTCCAAAATATGCTCTCGGTCTCAGGCACCCAGGGCATGGGGATAAAAATTAGGCAGGTTAAATCACAATAGACAGACAGACAGACAGACAGATGGGTAGACGGAGGTGGATGGATGCATAGATAGATAGATAGATAGATAGATAGATAGATAGATAGACAGATAGATAGATGGATAGATAGATAGATAAGATGGATGGGTGAGTGGATGACAGACAGATACATAGGTGATGGATAGGTCGATATTGTGAGTGGGTGGATATTGTGAGTGGTAGATATGAGAGACAGATAAATAGATGGTGGATAGACAATAGACGATACTCAATAGATGACAGATACTGGATAGA